GGGGCTTTTGATAGACCAGACGTATACAACGAAAGAAATTCGCGGTACACTTCTAGGATGTGTGTCTTGTGTCTTGATTTATTATTTCTAGAAGACAAACGGGCTGACCAACGAAAGAAGACGTCAGTCACAGTGGTCGTGTGTGTGTTTATTTTGTTGTTGGCACCGACCAGCGCTAACAGGCTGACCATATATATAAACGTCAGTCTCAGTGTGGCAAACAACGAAAGCGCGGTCGTGTGTGTGTGTGTGTGTGTGTTGATTTTGTTATTGACACCGACCAGAGCTATCCGCCTGACCAATGAATGAAGACGTTCTGTATCAGTGCGCGGCTTAGCAAGAAAGCACGTGGGTGTGTGTTGTTTTGTGTCTTTTGTTATTATTTAGCGTCGGCCGCGTGAACCGGCTGACCAATTAAAAAAGAAGACGTGAGTCTCAGCGCGGCTAAACGCGGAAGCGCGCTGTGTGTGTGTGTGTGTGTCTGTGTGTGTGTGTGTGCGGTGAGCAGGATAGCTTGGAGGGCTACCTGCAGCTGCTGCTTCCGGTCCTGCTGAGGATGATCGAGCGCAGGGACGTTGGGCTGGCCATGCGCCACATCACGCTGGCGGTCGTGCTTCACCTCACGGAAGACACAAGATACCTCCTCGACAACGCCTCGAGGTACATACAATACTGCTGTGCATTCATTCCTTTGAAGACACGCACGACAAGACGCAACAAACTAATTGTGCGCATGTATAATTTTGTTTACGAGGTACCCCTATTTATATTTTTTTACTCACGTGAGTACCTAGTACTTGTGCTCATGTTGTCCCTCGGTATTTGTCTTTGTCTTGCTTTGCCTCACTTATTTTAACTCGTTTTGGTACCACGTGAATACCTGTTCTTATGTTTGTGTTTAGTTTTTTACGAGGTACCCCAATTTATTTATTGTTGTCTCACGTGAATACTAGTACTTGTGCTCATGTTGTCCTTCGTGTTGGTACCACGTGAATAATTGTTCTTGTTTTTTCCCTGGACCTTGACCTTCTTTCTCTTTTTGTCGTTTTCCTGTACTAGACTTTGGTCCCGTGTTGCCTATGCCCCTCTTCGCCGCTTTCCTACTTGTTTTTCCTCCCCCTCCCCCCCCCCCCACACCCC